CTCCTGCATCGGCAGGCGGACTCTCAACCACTGCGCCACCAGGGAAGCCCTGATTCTGCATCTTTTTAGATGTAGTTTCACTTCTAAAATTAGTTTGATTTTGTTGCTTATCTCTGTGTCACTCTTTGAGGGTAATTATAATACCTTTCATTCATATAAGGATTTATTATTTTTGTTACGATTCTCCGTACATTAGCACATTGGTTTAATAGTTCTTAAGTGAAGGGGGATATATTAGTATTCAGTTTATAGAAGAAAAAAGCTTGAATTTAGATGAAGTGATTTTCTCAAGGCCACACAGCTGGTTAGGGGTAAATTTTAAGTTCTTTGTTCTCTTTACTGTTGCATAATGCCTGGAAATGAGGGAAAATTGTTCCTGGGATATTAGTTAATGCACCAATAGATAATTTTGTTTAGTATTAAACTTATGGTTCTTTGCTCTTTCCACTCTGTAATATGCCCTGAAAATGAAGGAAAATGAGATTGGAATATACGTGGCAGCAAATCACCAGTATGATGGTGATTTCCACCAGTATGGAGATGAGGGTGCACTGTGTCCTCCAAATTTATATTGACTCTTATTTTATGTCTATTACATACAAATAACTAAATTATTAGTATATACTAAAACATATATACTTTTTGATTCTTAATATATTTAATGTAAGTCCATATATTTTGCTTTTAGGGTTTGCATCTGTATATGGACACAGAGTCTCAGAAATAGATGAAATGTTTGAAGCAAGAAAAATGATTGGCATTTGTCCACAGTTAGATATATACTTTGATGTTTTGACAGTAGAAGAAAATTTATCCATTTTGGCTTCAATCAAAGGAGTACCAGCCAATAATATAATACAAGAAGTACGTTATTTATATAGAAATCTTTACTTTTATTTGCTGTAAATTAGTAACCTTGTACAATAACTTCTGTAATAAAAATATGCTTGAAAATATAAATATAAAACCTGTTCTGAGCCAGTAAACAAAGTCATTATAAAGAGTTAGAACTTGGAGCAAAAGTTTTAGCACATAGAAAATCGTCCTTGTTTCATCTGGAGGATTCTAGTCTCTCAATATAGATGTTTCTTTTATTTTCTTTTCGCCTCCACCCCCTTCCCCTGCCACACAGACACACACTGAGCCTTTGCACTGATCCCCTCCCACCACCCAGGGGTCACAGAAGTACAGCAGACCTTCCCATCAGGAATCCTTTTAGCTGTTATTTCAGAATTATACATGGATATATGTCAAAATTAAGTTCTGGACTAAAAGAACATTTTAAAAGTTGACATTAAAATTAGAACACTTAAAAACTAATATTGATAATTATGTAAATGATGTGATTTAAAAAACGTTTATTGACACTTTACTTTCATAGGTGCAGAAGGTTTTACTGGATTTAGACATGCAGGCTATCAAAGATAATCAGGCTAGAAAGTTAAGTGGTGGTCAGAAAAGAAAACTGTCTGTAGGAATCGCTGTTCTTGGGAATCCAAAGGTAAGCAGATATTAGTGTCATTGATGAGGTAATTTTAAATTATGCTGAATTAAAAAGTGGTTGTAGAAAGATATACGTACACACATTGTATAAATGTTAAACATACATAAAATACTATACGTTATTATGGATGTAACTGTAGTAATAAGGTTTTAAAACTGAAGTCAGAAACGTACACAGCATCTTTAATTTAGTGGCCATCTCTTGGAACAGGAATGGAAAGGACTGACTTTCTTTATATCTGCAGAGTTATATTTCTCTGAGAGAAGATCTGAAGTAAAATAACATTTGTTAAACTTCAGTGGTGGCTATAAAAGTATTGTTATATTTATTATTCTCTTCAGTTTTCTATGCATCTGTAATGGTTATAATAAAAATTTAAAAACAAGAACAAAATCAAACGAATAGTTCCATTTTTCACTGTTCTGTTGATTTGATTATTTGGTCTGTTTTGTGCTCTTCTCTGTCTGGCAGAAACAGAGAACCAGCTGGTCACTGCTTTGCACAGTGTTAGAAAGCTGCCAGGTGCACACCTGTGGCCGGGAGCCCCGTGGGTGCCCACCATCCTGCCACACGCCCTGCTGCTGTAGCTTGGGGAGGCCTGTGGTTCAGGCTTTGAGTCAATTTATCTTCCTCCCAATCCTCACCACCATATTTTCAAAATTAAAAATAGTCTTAAAATAAATTTCTTTCCCTGAGCTAATGCAGAGCATAATTCTCTAACGAGCAGTTGTTACATCTACAAAATTTTAATTGTTCGGGTAAAGGCGAAATACTTGGTGTTTTGTTTTATAGTTTGTCTATCTGATTGTTATTATACTTATGTCTTATACATTACAGACATTTGTATTTTAAAATTAAAAAGAAGGTGTTCATATGCCAAACCGATAGTTTTTAAAATTTATGCTAACTCATATATGAGGGGAAAACTCAGACCTAATACATTTCTGATTGGATAGAGTAACTTTTTTTTTTTTTTTTTAACATCTTTATTGGGGTAGGATAGAGTAACTTTAAGTGGGGAAGGTTTGCAGGGTCTGCATGAATTTTATATATTTTAGTTTTCCAGAGGATTCCCTGCCTTGCCCACCCCTTTGCACACAGGTACTGTTGCTGGATGAACCGACAGCTGGAATGGACCCTTGTTCGCGTCATATTGTTTGGAATCTTCTTAAATACAGAAAAGCTAATCGGGTGACAGTGTTTAGTACTCATTTCATGGATGAAGCTGACATTCTTGCTGGTGAGATTTTTACTTTATTTTTAAAGGTTAAGGTCATGGGGCCAAATGGGAGATTAGACATAGAAATGCTAAATTCTGAGGAATAGATAAAGAAGCTGTGCGTTCTTCACAAGAAAAGGTATTACAGTTTTTTAAACTTACATGTTTTTGTGTTGTGTTGGGGGGGTCCCCCTGACCACCCGAGGTCCAATAATCTGACACGAAAGCTCACAGGACTCAGCACAGCCACACCTCTGGGTGTGAATTATTACACTGAAATGGAAGGGGTACAGGGCAGAGTCAGCAAAGGGCAAAGGCACATGGGACAAAGTCCGGGAGAAACAGGCAAGCTTCCAAGAGTCTTATCCGCACGGAGTCAGCCAGGGTGCGCTCCATCTATCCAGCAGCGAGTTGTTCTGTCACCCAGGGTTGTTCTTTTTTGTTCTTGGGGCTGGCCGTGTGGCACCCTCTGCCTCACACGGGCCCACCGCCCAGCTGCCCACCGCCCAGCAGGAAGCAGGTGTCAGCCATGACCTGCGTTGCCTGTGCAGCACAGGTGCCGGGGGCCAGCCGTACCTGCTCAAAGCCGGGTCTCCAGACCCGGGTCAGGAGCCAGCCTCGTAAGAGGCCTTCCTAAGCTTAAGGGCCTCAGGCCAGTGCTAAACACATTCAAGCACCGAAGAATCCAGGTTGAAACCAGCACATGACTTTAGTAGCTGCGACAAGGTCCAAGGCCCTGAGGTTCCCAAGCAACCTCTTTCTGTTCATGATACAATCTAATAAATTGGGCATGTCATTCATTTTCTCAGTGGCATCTTTGTTTAAAAAAAAACCTAACGTTTTGTTTCTGTTGCTTTCTTGTCGTTTTTACATTTGGCTATCAAGGAAGTTGTGAAAGCGCTTCTGTTAGTAACCTTATAGGAAGAGTCTGAGACATTTGGAGCATGTTAGGAAAGTAGAGTGTAGACTTACACTGCCTGGGTGGAACCCCTGGCTTTGTCACTTAATAGCCATGTGAAACATGGGCAAACTGTACATGTTCTTATTGCCTTCCTGTTCTCATCGAAAAAGCAGGTGATGATAATCTATACCTTCCTCATAAGGCTGTTGTGATAATTTAATGAGCTCGTACACTGGTGTCTCATAGGATAATCTAGAAAATATAAATGCCAATTATGAATGCTGTTACTAACTCTGAAATTGAAACGCAAATCTCTTTTTGCAGATAGGAAAGCTGTCATATCACAAGGAATGTTAAAATGCGTTGGTTCTTCAATTTTTCTCAAAAGTAAATGGGGGATTGGCTACCGCCTGAGGTATCATTCATTCTTTATTGACTTGTTCCTTGTTATATTCTTGACCCGTTGTTACTGTGTTTAAGGTTTGCCATGATGTGCTTTGGCCAATTTTTTATGGCACTAACTTTAACTTAAAGCATTCAGAATTTACTTTTGGCTGTTGACTGGGTAATCATAAAAAATTATGGTTTTCGGTTTTCTCTAGCATGTATATTGACAGATGCTGTGCCACGGAATCTCTTTCTTCTCTGGTTAAACAACATATACCTGCAGCTACTTTATTGCAACAGAGTGACCAGCAGCTTGTGTATAGCTTGCCTTTCAAGGACATGGACAAATTTTCAGGTATTCCTTACTTTCAGTTTCTTGACTGCTGAA